GGGATTTGTAGCCATGCAAAAACTTCATTTCTTTCTTTCTTTTTTTTTTTTTTTAAAGATTTTTATTGGGGAATTGGGGGATGGGAACAGCGCTGGGGAATTGGGGAAAGGGGAACAGACAAGTTGTTGTCCTTTTGTTCTTCAGTCTAGTTGTGGAGGATGTTGCTTCACTGGCCCAAGTTGGCACCATCATTGCGCTCTTCCCGGGCGAGGCAGATCAGTCGCCGGCTTCTGGACGGCCGCTCACGGCGGCTGCTGGCCGCTCATGCTGGCTGCTGGCCGCTCATGCTGGCTGCTGCTGGCCGCTCATGCTGGCTGCTGGCTACACACGGCAGCCCATGGCAATCACTGCAGCAGGGGCTGCAGCCTATGCCGTCGCTGGCAACTCATGGCAGCCCAGGTCCAGGTTGTGCTGTTGTTCAGCATCTCAGCTGTAGAGGGCAGTGTCACTGGCCCTCCTATGTGGGATCCGAACTGGGGCCCTCTGGCGTCCCAAGCCAGTTCTTAACCAACGCGCCACTCGACCGGCCCAAAACCTCATTTCTTTAAAGATGACTTTTTCTCTTTTCTTTCCCCTTGATTCAAAGTGGCTTTGAAAACGTCTAATAGCACCATGGCTCACTTGCTTCTTTTCTTTCCTTATCCTTCCACCTTTTTGACCACTCTCTTAATCGTTAAGCCCTTAGGTCAGCCTCAAACAGTCTTAGGAACAAAGCCTCAGGTCTATTGACCACAGAAGCAGAGTTTCTGTCAAACTAAAGGAAACATCTCAATCTCAGTTGTGTTTCGATTCCAGACCCATGAAGGTGGCCAGACCCTACCAGCCACATCCCCTTGAGACCAGGCCGAATGATGCCATGACTGACATCAGGACCTGATGTAATAATGATCTACTGCCTCCTACCCTAGACCCAACCAATCAGTAGAGCCCACCACACCAACTCCCTTAGCCACCATGATTAATAATCTTTCCCCTACATAACTTATCTCCTAGGGGTCATGGGAAGCCAGGTCTTTAGGCACTAGCTTACCTGTGTATGGCTTAGAACCATTTCCTTAAATAAACCTTTATTTTCTTTGCTGCAAACCCCTAGTATCTTATTTAGCTTTGATGCCTGCAGGTAAAACGAACCCCTTTTAGCTCAGTTTAGAACCCCCTTTAGTCAGAACCCCCTTTAGTTTCAGCAACAGATTCAAGACTTGAGTTTTGGTCCCACCTCTACTTGTGATACAGGAGAGCCCCCTCACTATAGAAATTTTAAGTCTCCTTTCCCCTAGTTTCTTAACTCCCTTGCCCCTGGTCTTAATCACTTTTCAAACCAGTTTCTTAATCCTAAACTAAAGATTGCTCCTAGCCTAAATCACAGAATGTCTCTCACCCCCTGCTTCAGATAACTACTTAAAAGCCTGTGACCTAAGCTGTTAACTGTAATCACTGTAGCCCAGCATTCTCCCCAGGCCATTCCAGACCTAGCTCTTGGATAAATAAAGGCCATCTGAAATAAAGCTAAATGGACTTGAACACTCCTCCAGGCCATTCCAGACCTAACCCCTGGGTGAAATAAAGCTAAATGGTCTTTAACATTCCCCAGGCCATTCCAGACCTAACCCCTGGGTGAACAAACTCGACCTGAAATTAAGATAAATGGACTTTGAGTCCTGTTCCTGGGTCCAGCGCTTTTAACTTATTAACTAAAAGCTGTCTCTCCTCATCTAGGGGCCACTGGGATATGAAAAATGTCCCAGCGAGGCTTCCAGTGCACCCCGACCAAGGCAGTTATGAAACCCCCATTTTTTTTATTTAACATCAGATAGGATGAGAGTTCCATGAATTCCCCATAGGTAGGAACAGCTCTACACACCTGCCCAGCAGGAAGCAGATACAAAAAAGAGACATCCCGTCCCTCAACTTACCACAGAGATTTATGGGGATCATGTCTCTCAGGGGAAACAAGGCAGGCAATTAAAGACAGGCATTGGGTCTCTGCATTCCTGCACATCCAACACAACCTACAGAGAGCACCACCTGGAGACCTTCCAAATTCTTCCCTTATCTGCCCTAACCATTAATCACTGTGAGGGTCTAACTAGATTAGACCAGATGCTCACACCTGCACAGTAGGGGCTACGACCTCCATCTCACCTTAACCTCATTATACCGTCATTGTTATATCATACATATGCCCGATAGTTCATTAATATCATTATAACAGACTGAATTCTGGGAAGGAGCATGCGCAGTCTAAAAAGATGAAGTCATAGCCCCCTGTCAATCACAGATGTCAATCAGGTGGTCCCAGGCCTGCAGAGGAATAGCCCATCCTAGAGAAAAGAAAAGAAAAACCCCAAGTCCTCGCCAGTCAGCACCTTTTGAGCCTTTTGAGCCTCTTCTTTTGCTCAGGCCCTCTCCTACCCTTTTGGAGTGTACTTTCTCTTCTAATCATGGGCCGTCGAGCTGCTTTTCTTTGTGCTCAGGCCTGCTCCTAACTCTTTGGAGTGTATTATCTCTTCTAATAAACTGCTCTTTCACCACTTTAGCTCTGTGTCTCATTCAATTCTTTGCTTGAGACGCCAAAAACCTGAACATCGCACTGAGGAGGGCAATGCAACGGCTAGGATTCCCGGTTTTCCTCCAGGAGGCCCAGGTTCGATCCCAGTTGGGAACTTAGCCCGGACTCCACCGGGTTCAACCCCTGGTGTGGAAACCAAGCCTAGGCATCGCGCCAAGAAAGGCCCAGTAACACCTGCAATGTGAATTTAAGCAAAGTGAATTTAAGCAAGGTCCGTTTCTCACATGAGACGTGGTCTATTTTCAGAAGTAATCCAAGTGGAATCTGGAGTTTTCACTCTATTCAGGAATATAGTGAAGAAATAAAATGGAGTCACTATAGTCAAGCTGCTAAATTACTAAAATCAAATAAGTTGAGGAATGAGGAAACTATTCTATTCAGATAACCCTCTGATTATTCCCTGAAGGGCTAAGGAAAGGATGTTCACATATACAGACTATCTGACATCCATTATCCAGATCACCAGTCATCTAGAGCAGGAGTCAGCAAACTTTTGAGACAGAAGAGCCGCCAGGGGTCTGCAAACTGCGGCTCACAAGCCACTGAAGTAAAATTGAAAATGAAAATGAAATTATCATAGTTTCATTTATAAAAATTTTAAAGGATATTATTCACATAATGGTGATTTCACTTGTTTCATAGGTCTCGCAAAACTTCGAGGGACAGGATTGGCTCTTCCAAGGGTCGGCAAACTTTTGAGACAGAACGTACCCAAAGAGCCGCACGTGGCTCGCAAGCCACAGTTTGCCGACCTCTGATCAAGAGGATTACCATCTTGGACCAATCCAGAGGCTAAGAATGCAGGATCAATTCTTCTCAAAAATGTACTGTTTAGTATAAGAACGTCTAGCTTTTGTGTCTTCTTCTGGGTATTGCCTAGTTGTGTTTCCTGTTTGCAAACCCTAAGACCCATGAATAAATCTTTATCATTTATTTCTAGCCAAACTCTCCAGACTCTTTTTAGTTTGTTCGACAAGATAATTATCAAAAATTTATTCTCCTTCAATCTTCATATATACCTGCAAAGGTGATGACGGGCACACTGTCATGCATAACTTACTTGTCAAATTTTCCACTGTATTTCTTTCCCTCTCCCTTTTCTAATGCAAGTTCATATGTGTAGAAGATAGCAAGATTTCACTATAGGGAAGAGTATTCTAGAAGTATAAGCCAAGTAAAAAGACAACTTACAGTATTTTATTCAATTCTGCAAATCATTTGCCAGTTATAAAATAATTAATAGAGGCATTTTGGTTCCCATCACCCTCATTTTCCTGCTCCCTTCACCCAAAAAAAGTAGATTGGTTAATCATATAAAAAGGACATCAGGTGAGAATCACTGACCAGTATGATGTGACCCATTCATTCATTTAAGAAATAGATCCGAGTGCCCAATTACCAGGCATTAAACTAAGCACCAAAGACAATGTCCAGAAAGGAGAATTTTGGGTCAAAACATAAGTATATAATAAAGTGGATAATCTGGGTTCCTCAGGCCTTAATTGCATCAAAATCCTTGATGACACTCTACTGCCTTGATCGATTCTACAACATGCTTCAAAGGAGAAATTTGGTGAACCAAATTCCCTCAGAATGAAAAACAAAAGAAAACTGTGGATCTCCATCCATCAAAGAGGATGGAAACAGAGAACGCACACTCCAGCTAGGCATGTCACAAAACATGTCAAAGAGAAACTGAGGAGTGGCAGCCGCAAGAATGTGTGTAAGCTGAAATGAGTCCTCAAGTTCTTTATGTTTTATACAAGCTTATTTCAAGACTCAGTGACTATCATTCCCAAATACTGACGGAGTAAAGAAAGTTCTATAAAACTAGTAAATCCAAATTTCAAATTCTAAACAAATTCTAGGACAGCTGTCTGGTACAAAGGCATGTTTTATTATACATTAGGTGTCATTCTTGAACTATCGCATCTTTCATTATAACTAAAAGTCTGAGAAAGACTCAAGATTTTAAGAGCTCTGGCCAAATTTTGCTCTTTGAAAATGAGTATCCCTGCTTCCTAGCCACCTCCCTAAACTACAAATCCAAGGAAGGAAGTCTGACTCTCCCTTAAATTAAAGAGGCAATCCGAAGTCCCTCCTGAAATGCGGCCAGGTGTACACGTTTAGTTATCTAAACATGGGGGACGAGAGGGTGGGGGTACACCACAGAAGGGGGGGTGCGGATCCGCTGCAGCGAGCTCCGGACCCGGGCGCCGGGCAGGGTGACCCCGGGGCGGCTGGAGAGCGGGGCAAGGCGCGCCCCGGGGCCGCGGGGCCAGGGCGCAAGGAGTCAAAGGCCAAAGGGCGGGATGGAGGAGGACGGCAGAAACTTCAGGAAAGCGCGGGCGCTCTACTCAGGGTGCCGCCTGAGGTACGGGGCTGGGGCTGGGATCCCCTTCGCCACGCCGAGCGAATCTCAGAGGGTACCTGACTGCGGGCGGACAGTCCACAGCTCCCTCCGGCCGCCCAGACCAGAGAGAAGGCCGGTTCTCCGCAGAGCCGCGACCCTCGCCAGTGTCGCCAGCATCGTGCGCCTCTCAGATACCCTCGGTCCCAGCCGCGAGGAGAGAACACAGTGCGTGGCGAGGCCCACAGCCGCTGGGGGCGCCCACGGACACCTCACACTCCGCACCCCACCAGCCGGGCCAGGCAGCGCCGGGCGGAGCCGCGCTGGGCGGAGCGCTCCTGTCGCCGTCACTCGCGGGGCAGGCGTCTGGTCCGTTGTTCCCGCCCAAAGACCGCGAGACTGCAAAGGCCGTCCTAGGGCTGGGTGTGTTCGGCTTTTCCTGAAGCAGAAAAGAATTCTTCCTCGACTCCGTTCACTTAAATTCGCTCATTCGATACCCAATTCAATAACCCACTTAGCCCTCTGCCCCTAGCGGAACCTTCTTGTGAGGCCGGAACCAATGTGTTGTACGGTGCTAGCGGCCGGAGGACCGTTTTGGTGAAGGACCACGAATGCTTGGTGAAGGGTTGATCGGGGCATTTCCGGGGAGAGAACGCGGCAGTGAGGTCTTCGTTTCCTGATATGCACCGACAGAATTTTCGACCCCCTACCCCTTCTTACCCCGGCCCGGGTGTAGGAGGTTGGGGTAGCGGGAGCAACTTCCGGGGTACTTCTGGCGGAGGCGGACCACGGCCGCCCTCCCCTCGGGACGGGTACGGGAGCCCGCACCACACGTCGCCTTACGGGCCCCGGTCTAGACCCTACGGGAGCAGCCACTCTCCGCGACACGGCGGCAGCATCCCGGGGGGCCGGTTCGGGTCTCCGCCCCCTGGCGGCTACCCTGGCTCCTACTCCAGGTCCCCCGCGGGGTCCCAGCAGCAATTCGGCTACTCCCCAGGGCAGCAACAGACCCACCCCCAGGTAATAAATAGCCAGCGTTTGCTGAGCTCTTACTGTATGGCAGGCATGGTACTAATAATCCCTTTACTTGGGTTATTTTGTTTAATCCTCTATGAGGTGAGACACTATTGTTAGCCCGGCTTTGCAGATGAATAAACTGAGGCTCAGAGAAGTTAAGTAACTTGCTTTAGATTACCCTAAAAAGTTTGCAGAGCCCTACTTTCTAGAGCCCTCCTGCGGTTAGCCACTACACTGCCACTTATTCACAGGTTTCCCTAATGCCGTCTCCTTTGTCAGGGGCCTTGTCAACTGATCCCAGTAAATTATTCTGAGCCCGGGTCTCCGAGACGGAATAAAGCAAACGAATTCCCGCGTAGACTTCATCTAGGTTATAGGGTTGTTTATAAGCTAGTGCATTCTTTCTACTGCTGGCACTTTTTTCCGGCCTTTGTTTTCGAGCTGCACTGGCTTCTGCTCCAAGTCCTCTCAAGAGAAAATCGGTGATGGTGGAAGTTTCCCCTTCCTCTTAGTGAGAGTGAATACGGGACGATGAGAGATTGTGGTGTGTGTAGGATTTCTGTGGTTTATAACTTGAATGTACTCGGTGCTTTTCGAACTTTTCCTTATGCTAAATCAACCCCATCCCTTTGAGTCTGGAGCTAATGAGATGGGAAGTTTCTAGAAATCTTGAAGCTGTAGGGTTAAAAAGTTTTCATTTTTCTTCAGGAGAAAATGGAAATTTTGAGGGAAAATTGAAATATAATTATTTCTTCATCACCAGTTGATAGTTCTGCAGAGTTACTACATTAGAAACCCGAAAGTACTTGAGATGACAATGGGCATGGAATTATTAAGTGAGCATATCAAATTTGTTTAAATGCTTTTTAAAAACAAAAACACTAGATTGAAGGAAGACTTTGCAATTAAACATATTTGAGTTCAAGGCACAACTTTTAACTAGCAATGTGATCCCCAACTAGCTTTTAAAGAAAAAGTACCAGTTATCTCTACTAAATGTTATTTTTAACTGATTTTTTTTCTAAAGGGCTCTCCAAGGACATCTACACCTTTTGGATCAGGGCGTGGTAGAGAAAAAAGAATGTCTAATGAGTTGGAAAGTTATTTCAAGCCTTCAATGCTTGAAGACCCTTGGGCTGGCCTAGAACCAGTATCTGTAGTGGATATAAGCCAACGATACAGCAATACTCAAACATTCACAGGCAAAAAAGGAAGATATTTTTGTTAACATTTCTGAAATTCAACTGGAAGCCTCATGTATCAGGAACATCTTGGACAAAACTTGTACTTGTGTAATTAAGTTGAACCCTAACATGGTGTCTTTGATTGAATAATTAGGGCTTCTTGGTATTTTTCATCTTATCTAATATTGTTGGTATTAGAGAAGGCATATGGTAGGATAATTTGCAATATTTAGCTCTCTGGAAGTGCCTACCACAAATTAGTAAGATTTATAGTCTCCAAATGGTTAACATTCTTGGTAATATAATGGACATTTGTCTTTTAATGTTTTCCCAGTGTTTTAAAATAAAACATTTTGTCTTTCTAGCTATATTGTGGTTTCGTCATATGCTAAAGAAGTAGAATTATTGAAGTAATGCTTTGTAATCAGTTAGAATTCATAAGTAAATATTTTGCCTGCTACTTTTGAAAATAAAAGAGATAAACCATCCTTTGAGCTGTAGACAGTTACATATTTGTTCATAGGAAAAGGGGGGTAAAGGAAGTGAATAAAGGAGGTTTCTATTTCTATTACAACCATCGTTCTATGCGTATTTTATGTAGTGCTATTGTAAAAATGAATTGAAACTTGATTGGAAGTCACAGACACATAAATAAAAAGAAGTTTGTACTCATTTAGCTGGAAAGGGCAAGGATATACTTATGTCTTGTGTAGCTAGATTAAAGTATTTTGTGTCTGAATTTCTCTACATCTCGGTATTGTGGAGTCATTTTCTCTTGATGCTAAGGAAGATGACTACCAGCAGTCTCACTTCTATTGTGAAGAGGACATTTCCCAAGTCTCTGTCAATCCCAGGGAAGACAGATTGGCCATGCTTAGATCATGTTTCTGTAGTCTTGATCCAATAACTATGACCAAAGCAGCAAGACCTAATTAGTTTGAACAGTGGACCTACCCCTATAATGAGATAGGGTCCTGTGATCCTTAGCCCCACTAGGCCTACCTGGAGTAGAGAAATGGTTTTCCACAGGAAGGAATGCTATGTATCTTTACCTACAGTAATGGAGAAAAAAATATAAAGGGATTTTTTTTCCCCCAAAAAAATATTTAAGAGGCTTTTTAGGTATTTTGAGGTCATAATACATGAAAATAGAGCTAGTTAAAATTTTGCTTAAACATTCCCAGAAATAAACGTCTAAAAATGGAATGGCCACACCACCTATTTGAGCCATTCCCAATTCTATTTGTTTGCTAGGTCTTTCATAGAGGCAAAGAAGGAAATTAAAAGGGAAGGATTTTAGATTAATAAAATATCCATGAAAATCCAGGACTACCACTGCCAATTACTAGCTGAATGAGTTATTTAACTTCTCTATGCCTCGGTTTTCTCATATGTAAAATGAAGAAATTAATAGTACCCATGTCATAGAGGTGTTGTGCTTGAGGATTAAATGGGTTTACATGTGTAAAACTCTTAAGCCAGAGCCTGGCACATAGTAAGCACTCAATAAATTGTAAGCTATTTCTTATTCACCCCTATATCCTCAGCTCTTAGATTGATGCCTGGAAAATAGTAGGTGCTCAAATCTGTAGGAAATGGCTTTTGGAAATAATAAGATAAAGGAAGTCAGGAAGGATTTTGTGCTAAAGTAGTTCATATTTGGAAGACTTTCAAGTATAACTGTTGTAATGGTTTATGTACATTTTATTTTACTACTTTATAAGAGTAATTGTAAACAACTAAAACTTTTTTCCCCAAGTTACCAACATCTACTTCCAGAAGTCGGACCTTTTCTAATTTTCTTAAAAGAAACGTTTCTTTTTATTTCAGGAAAGGTGCATTGCTGTATTGCTCTAGTTGGTCATGTGTTCAGTTGTCAAAGTTCTTTCCACATTGATATTTTGGATTGTTTCTATTAGTAGCCTATTTTTGTTTAGCTGAGTGAAAGAAATGGATTATTCTTTAAATTATTTTTTCTTAGAGTTCTAGAATATCCATTTTTACCTCTACAGATATGCTAAATAATTTTTTTAGAAAAATTATAAGTATGTATCTTAAATATTCTTGTAATTAAAGAATGGAAACATAATCTATAGCTGGGTCTTTAAACAACAGTATGTATTCCTGGGAGTGTTCAACTTTGCAAGGGTGTGCAAGCATAGATAGCTTTGAGGATATCCAGAGCCAGATCCTCAATTCCCATATGTGCTGTTAAAACTGATCTACCTAAGGAATATTTCCATGATCAATTGTCCATTTTCCCTTCTGCCTTTTCATAGTCATTTTTCCCTACTTTACAAGAGAAACCTATCACAGGCTGTATTTTTCAAATGACCCCAACAATATTTCAGGTCCCACATACTCTCCAGAACCTTACCACTACCCTAGGGGTTGGCAAACTGTGGGTCGCGAGCCACATGTGGCTCTTTGGGTACGCTCTGTCTCAAAAGTTTGCCGACCCCTGGAAGAGCCAGTCCTGTCCCTCACAACAATTTAAAAATTATTTGAGAGCCATAAATATTATTTTACAAATAAAAGTAAACAAAGTAATATTATAAATGAAACGATGATATTTTCATTTTCAATTTTACTTCAGAGCCACATGAACATACCCAAAGAGCCGCATGTGGCTCGTGAGCCGCAGATTGCGGACCCCTGGCAGCTCTTCCGTCTCAAAAGTTTGGCGACCCTTGCCCTACCCCATCAAGATGGAGAGTTACGTTGCTTACTTTTGAACCTAAGCAGACCTTTCTTTCCTGTCCACCAAGAAAGTTTTTTCATCATGGGTAAAGTGTGGTCTTAGAAATGAGTTATATTGGGCCATGTGGAGATCTTTAGAATTTAGATGTGTTGTCAAGTAGGAAGATAGAGTGATGACAGTTTCTGTTTAATGACCTTGCCTTTTTTGTCTCCTGACTATGCAAGAAACCACTTTTCTGGGGGTGAATAGCGTGAAAGTAAAAGAGCATGAGGGAAAGGCACCTTATTTTTAGGTAACAAGTCATAAGGTTGCTTGCATCATCTAGCTTAGAATATTCAAGATTGGTATAAAAGCATGAGGGTTTTGGTAAATCTGTTGTCAGGCAAACTGTCTTCACCACTCAATAGTGGTAAAGTGCCCAGTGAGTATGTCTCAACCTTATCTCAGTAGCATAATTTGCATGATTTCAAGGCGGAGGGAGTTAAGTTTTATGTTTATTTCCTACATTAACATTACATGTTCAAGTTGAAAGATCATATTTCAGAGGTAAGTTCATGGTTTTATATTTTCTAGAGCATTTAGGGAAAACATTTTTACTAACCTTTCCCAGGTTCATTATTAGATTCTTCAAATTTGTATTAATTTTTTGGCCAAAGTCTCCTGCTCATTGTCTCCAAGCCATTTCTGTGCTTTTTTCATTCCTGTGTATTTAGGTTTAAATTAAATATGTTGTGGATTTTACTGTAAAAAGTAGTCATCAGTAGTAGTCATAAAACCTAATAGTCATCAGTATACCTTGCATAAGCCCTGAATTTATTACTGACCCAGTATCTTTTTGCTCTGAATTTCCCATCTAATCTAATTTTTCTTCTAAGTCACAATTATTATATGATTCACCACCATATACTACTTAGTAAAAACACTCAACTAAACTATGATATGCCATCCAACTTCAGAGATGTTAAAATGTGTGTCTTAGTTTGATGAAATAGCATAAAATACTCTTAGAAGCAGAACATATACTTACATATAGACATAGGCATAAATGTCCATAAAATACAGTTTTAGGACACAATGAATTTAATTTTTAAAAAAAACTAGCTTAATTAGGATTAATTCTCAGATTTTTAAATTCTAATTCTATAAAAAGCATAAGTGGTTTTCAAACAAAATAAAATTTCTAATCTATATATAATCACCCTCAAAAAAATCTATGCAACTCCCAATTTTATGGGGGTGTTTTTACTCAGTTTGTGTTAAATGTCAATAAGCAAGATGACTCTAAGTGTAAGAGTTATAGATAAGTCTTGATAAATCTTTATGGTTAACATTCCAAGAAGCTGAGAAGGAAAATGGCCTGAACAAGATCTTCAGTAAGAGTGGTTTATAGGGCCGGCCAAATGGCGCGTTTGTTAAGAGTTGGCTTGGGATGCCAGCTGTGAGCAGCAGGGCCCGGTTCGGATCCCACATGCAGGCCACTTTGATGCTGTGCCCTCTGCAGCTAAGATGGTGAACAACAGCTCGACCTAGAGCTGGGCTGCCGAGAGTCGCTGGAAACAGCATAGGCTGCAGTGGGGTTGGCCAGCAGCTGACGTGCGCTTTCAGGAGCAGCCGTCCAATGGCCGGCGAGTGACTGCCTCACCTGGGAAGAGCGCAGTGATAATACCAACGTGGGCCAGGGAAGCGACGTCCTCCACAACTAGACTGAAGAACAAAAAAAAAAGTACAGCAACTTGTCTGTTCCCCTTCCCTGATTCCCCAACGCTGTTCCCTCCCCCAATTCACAAATAAAATCTTTTTTTTTAAATGGTTTTTCTGTGCATTCAGCAAAATTGAAGAAATTTTAAATTGTCAATGATCATTAAAAATAATTTAATGATCAGTTTTTGATATTTGGTATATTACATAAAAAGCATCCAAGAATTAAGTGGCATTACTATAATAAAATTCTCTTTTCATTTATATGTGTTAATGAGTCAGCATTTACATCTATACTTTAAAAATAGGAGTAAAATTGATGTCTCATTCTAGCAATGAGCACTATTTACCCTTATAGAAAAATACAGCACTATCCATTTCATTAATAGATATGTTTACAATTAAACTTTATTTGGTGTTTTAATAATATTAAAATTGATATATTTATGTTATTTTTATCATTTGAATAGTAATGATAATCCAGACAACATTCTTTAACATTTGGAGGTTTATAGTCATAAGAAATTGATTTTTTTAATTTCCAAAAATTTTTTGTTTCAATAAATATATTCTTATATATTTTGAAAAACAGCTATATGACAGGGTAGCAGTAAAAGATTTTCAGGAATCACAGTATATTACAATGAGAGAAAAATTATGTGAGGAAGTAAAATGGAAATGAATTGCGAATAAAATAGTGTAAAATGTTCTATTTTAAGAAGTGATGGTTGATATCAAATTGTGGTGATACTTAAATTGAGTTAATGTAATGGATTTAGCTTAAAATATCACTATTACAGAAATAACTTCCTTTGCAATTTCTTAAACTTATGATAAAAATGTTTTTATATTAAAAATGTGTAAAAGAGTACATCACTTTTTTTTTTAGCTGAGCCATCCTGCCACCTGTTGGCAGCTCAGCAGCAGCTCAGCTCGAGCCGTGAATCGAACCAGTGACCCTGTTGCTCAGAGATCATACTCTTGAGTGAGCTCTTAACCAACTGAGCCACTCGGCCGGCCCTGTACATCACTTTTCAAAATTACTTTAAAGAATATATGACCAAAATATTTAAGGATCTCAACCCAGTAGATGGGGTAGAAAGGGGACTATAGTAAACTATAAATCCAAGAGAAATCACAGAAGTAGGCGGAAAAAGGTAAGAAATGACAGCAGT